ACAATCTTGTTTCAGGGACTACGCTCGTAATCTGCCCAGCAACAGCATGGTGATCCGTGGAGTCGGATGACGAAACATTGGGGTCAGAGGACGTGGGCCAATCATGCACTGACCTACACTTTTGTTTTATGACTTGACGATGTATAATGGGTCAGGGAGAGATAGCGAGTCAGACTTCATGAACTTACACAGCTTGTTGGTGGTCAGGGAAAGGAAGACTCAAAATCCAGAGCTCTGGAAGCTTTATTCACTTACTTGTAACAAAACTCATTAACTTTGACCAAAAACGCCTTCTCCTATTGCTTCATTAAAGAACACGCAGGACCAAGGACTACACATAGTTTAAAAAGGGTAATTTAAAGTCACGGTCCAATAACCTCACTAATTTCAAAATCCTGGTTGGAGGTTAGAGGTTTACAGGAAATACTGGATCCCTGCTTTGACACTGTGTTTAGTACAATACTGCTGAAACCAGCATGGACTGACTCCAACCCTCTACTGACCTCAGAGTCTCCAGTCTGCAGTGTGGACTCTCCACAAGATCAGATAGCAGCTTCGCATCTGAATCCTGCAGGTTGTTCATACTTAGCTCCAGGTCTCTCAAATGGGAGGGGTTGGACTTCAGAGCTGAGGCCAGGGAAGTACAGCTGATCTTTGACAACCTGCAGCCATTCAATCTGAATAAAGAATAAATTAAATAATAATCAGAATTTAGCTCTTAAATATTGGAATTTCAACTGCTCACACAATTCCACCACTCTTTCTAGAATATGGAACTTTCTCTGAGTTATCAGTTGGAGGAGCAGCAGCTCTGTATAGGATCTACCGGAGACACCGGGGGGAAGCGAGCTGGCGCGCTGGTTAAACTGAGACAGCGGGGTTTTCGCACTGCGCTCCCTCCGATCCACCTGGCAAATGTCCGCTCTCTGGCCAACAAAATGGACGAACTGCTGCTCCTCAACAGAACTAACTCCAACTTCTGCAGATCTGCCGCCCTCTGTTTTACCGAATCCTGGCTCACCGAGGACATCCTGGACAGTACACCTGCCGGGATTTTATCTCATCCGTGCGGATCACGAAATGCGCTCACGGGAAAAACAAGGGGAAGTGGACTCAACATAAACGAAGATTGGTGCACAGATGTCACAATGTTGAAGAAATCACGCAGTCCTCACGTAGAGACAGACATTATTCTTATTCTTATAATTATTATATAATATAATTGTCATTATTCTTATAACTGTAAACCTTTTTATTTACCATGGGAGTTTTCCTTGTTTGTTATGGTCACCGTGTACATTCCACCTCAGGCCTGTGTTAGTGAGGCATTACTACACCTGGGCGACCAGATAACTAACGTGGAGAAAAAACACACAGACTCCCTGCTCATTGTTCTCTGGGACTTCAACAGAACAAACCTCAGCCATGAACTCCGTACAGACAGTATATTAAATGTCCCACCAGGGACCACTACTACATAACACTGAAGGACGCCTAACAGTCTGTTCCCTGTGCTGCCTTGGGACTCTCTGATCCCTGTCTGGTTCATCTTATCCCGACATACAGGCAAAAACTGAAATCTGCTGTTGTAAAGAGTGTGAAAAGATGGACCAACGAGTCAAAGCTGGATTTACAGGCCTGCTTAGACTGTACTGACTGAGTGTTTTGAGGCTGCAGCCACTAACCTGGACAATCTAACGACCTTACATCAGTGCCGACTAAAACCTTCCGCACACACAACAACCAAAAACCCTGGTTCACAGCGAAACTCAGGCAGCCTCGTCAGACCAACGCGGAGGCCTTCCGAAGTGGGGACAGAGTCCTGTACAACCAGGCCAGGAACACGCTGAGTAAAGAGGTCAAAGCAGCAAAGAGGCCCCCATCTTCAAACAGATCTTCAACAGATCACTGGAGCTGTGTGAAGTTCCCTCCTGCTTCAATCGCTCCACAATCATCCCGGTCCCCAAAAAATCCTCCATCTCTGGACTAAATGACTACAGGCCTGTCGCCCTGACATCTGTAGTCATGAAGCCCTTTGAAAGACTGGTGTTGGCCCACCTGAAGGACATTACAGGCCCCTTGCTGGACCCCCTGCAGTTTGCCTACAGAACTAACAGGTCAGTGGATGATGCTGTCATCATGTAGGGACTGCATCACATCCTGCAAAACCTCGACTCTCCAGGGACATATGCAAGGATCCTATTCACGGACTTCAGCTCGGCATTCAACACCATCATCCTCAGCACCAAACTCACCCAGCTCAATGTGCCAGCCTCCACCTGTCAGTGGATCACAAACTTCCTGACTGACAGGAGTCAGAAGGTGAGACTGGGGAACATCACATCCAGCACCCGGACCATTAGCACTGGCGCCCCCCAGGGGTGTGTGCTCTCCCCACTGCTCTTCTCCCTCTACACCAATCACTGCACCTCAGGAGACCCATCTGTCAAACTCCTGAAATTCGCTAACGACACAATGGTAATCTGCCTCATCCGGGAATGTGATGAGTCGGCCTACAGACGAGAGGTTGATCCGCTACCGCTCTGGTGTGGTCTGAACAACCTGGAGCTCAACATGCTCAAAACTGCGAAGATGACCGTGGACTTCAGGAGGAGCCCCTCCCAACTCAGCCCCCCGTCACCATACTCAATAGCCCTGTGTCTGCTGTGGAATCCTTCAGGTGTCTGGGATCCACTATATTCCAGTACCTAAAGTGGGAGCCCAACACAGACACCATCATCAAGAATGCCCAGCAGAGGATGTACTTCCTGCACCATATCAGGAAGCTCAACTTGCCTAAGGAGCTCTGATCCACTTCTACAAGCCATCATTCAGTCTGTCTACTGCATGTCCATCACTGTCTGTTTTGGCCAAGATTTCATATTTCTTCTTACTTTAACAAACTAGACAACTACTCCTACTACTTCTTGTTGTTGTTGTAAATATTCAACGTAGAGACAAACGCACTCTGTAGAGTAGTTTGTCAATTTGAGCTCCTGTAGAAACATGACAGCAACATGGCGACTTCGATGTAAGAGGACCCGCGGTATGGTCTTTATACACCACTGAAAACATAGTTATTATTATATTGCATTTCTGTCAATATATCCTTGTCAATATTACACACTGGACCTACTAAGTTTGGATCAGTATAATATCAGCCTTATGTCTGCAGTTTAGTGTTCAGTTGTAGATCTGTATTTGATGCTCTGTTGATGCTTGTATATTTTGTTCCTCAAATGTAAGTCTGCCAAATGAGTAATGTAATGTAAATGTAGTGTCACCACAACTTTCACATCATATTAATCTCAGCACAGAAGCAAAAATAAAAAAATGGGTCTGACCTCAGAGTCTCCAGTTTACAGTCTGGACTCTCCAGACCCTTACACAGCAGCTTCACTCCTGAATCCTGCAGCTTGTTGTCACTCAGCTCCAGCTCTCTCAGATGGGAGGGGTGGACTTCAGAGCTGAGGCCAGAGAAGCACAGCTGATCTCTGAAAAACTGCAGGAACTCAATCTGAAAAAAAAAAAAATCCAATCAGATGTGATCAGGTTTAAAATGTGTAGCTCAACATTACAATGTTCTGGAATTAGAGGAGAAAAACTATATTGATCCTTCAAACAGCTGCATTTGGAAACATGCTCTGATGTCTGTGTATTCTGAAGGATCGACATAATGATCAGACATTATTTGTGAGCACATGTTGAAATCAACAGAAAACAAATGAATATTTCTCCTTCAGCAGAACGCATTTATCAATTTAAAATATTAGCTCAGAGATTCTTCTGTATACAAATATGACCATTTACCAAAAATTATAAACATTAATTTAACAGCGAACATTGTCTACAGTTTCCTTAAGAAGCACAAGTCTTTTGTGACTGAAGACTAAATTTAGTACAAGGAACATGAACATATGAACAAAATGAAATTTATGGATGTAACTTATGTATGAACATAAATTAGGTTCAATTAATAATTAATATATCATATCTACAATAGTAACAATTCAGTAAACTGACCCCAGAGTCTCCAGCTACAGTGTGGACTCCCCAGAAAACCACACAGCAGCTTCACTCCTGAATCCTGCAGCTTGTTGTCACTCAGCTCCAGCTCTCTCAGATGGGAGGGGTTGGACTTCAGAGCTGAGGCCAGAGAAGCACAGCTGATCTTTGACAATCTGCAGCCCTTCAATCTGAATAAAGAATGAAGATCAAACTTTCATATGGTCATCTGGGTGCTGCTGTTTACGTTCACCCCAGATGCAAATTCAAAGAATGCACTGTGGAATATTTGGGGTGTATATACAGTATATGTATATATGTATATAAATAACTGTATATATATTTTTTTATTTTATATGTTACCATATTTTAATTATACTTAATTATAAGTTGTGGGTGTGTAGCATGAAGGAACTACAAATTTTATTTTGTTATGCAGCCTTGTGCTGTATAATGATTAATAAACAACCTTGTCCCTTGAAGGCAATGTTCTTACTTGAAATCATACAGTGTTTAATAATCTGTTCAGAGCTGAAGAAGGTTTATTGATCCCAAGCAAGCTGGGGAAATAATTATTGCACTGTACAGGTTTAAGGTAAAAAGACAAAGTGATGAGTATAGAGTATAGTATGGTATATAGAGTATGTTTAGTGTCAGCACAACTTTCAAATCATGTTAATCTCAGCACAGAAGTAAAAACTGGTGTCTGACCTCAGAGTCTCCAGTCTACAGAGTGGACTCTCCAGAAAACACCACAGCAGCTTCACTCCTGAATCCTGCAGGTTGTTGTTACTCAGCTGCAGTTCTCTCAGATGGGGGGTGGTGGACTTCAGACCTGAGGCCAGAGCACTGATTTCTGACAAACCGCAGCCCCGCAATCTGAATAAAGAATAAATTATGTAATTTTAAAAGACAATGTTCCTGCTCGAAACCATTCAGTGTTTAATAATCTGTTCAGAGCTGAAGAATGTGTAGAAAGTAGAAGTTTAGAAAATGTAAACTCCAAACACCTGAACCCAACAGGATGCAGGTTAAAAACTGTAAAATTCAGGGTAAGAAGAGCTCATTAATAATGACAACAAGCTGCTACTTCAATAAAGACGTAGTGATTTCATCTCTTAAACTCTGCAGCTCCACCAGTGGCTCCATCTATACAAACTCATGTGGTGCAGCCAAACACAAATAAAAACCCACAGAAACTGATATAAGATTCGACTTAAGATCCCAAAGTTTCCAAAGATGCCAAATATGTTAGGATGGATTTTGGGGAAATGTGAACAAAAGACATCAACATTATTTCTTTTAGGAATAGTGGAGTAATAAAGTCAAAGCATCTTCAGTTTAAACTATTCAGTCAGTATAAGCATCATATAGCTTCATAACAATGTTGGAAAAAGCAAAAATATTTATTATTGTCTGACAGTTAAAATAGAGATTATTTATTCACTGTATTTATTAACTTCTGTTATCATTTATTTTAAAAAAGAAAAATAATCATGAAGGATTTAACGCAAAAATCAAGAATTCAAGATGTTCAGAGTGAATTATCCAGTGTAAATATTTCTTGTCATATTAAGGTTTTATATGTTGAGCTCAACATTGCTCTGTCACAGTCAATGGACTAAAACACTAAATAAGAAAATAAACTTTAGCATTAAGACAAGATAAGACTTTATTGATCCCACGCTGGGGAAATAAGCATTGCACTGTACAGGTATAAGGTAAAAAGACAAAGTGATGAGTATAGAGTATAGTACGGTATATAGAGTGTGTTTAGTGTCAGCACAACTTTCACATCATGTTAATTTCAGCACAGAAGTAAAAAAAATGGTGTCTGACCTTAGAGTCTCCAGTCTACAGTGTGGACTCTGTAGAAAACCACACAGCAGCTTCACACCTGAATCACGCAGGTTGTTGTCACTCAGGTCCAGCTCTCTCAGATGGGAGGGGTTAGATTTCAGAGCTGAGGCCAGAGAAGCACAGCTGATGTCTGACAGACTGCAGCAACTCAATCTGAATAAAGAATAAACAATAGAGATAAAAATCCATTTATAATCCAGGTTTAAATGTGGAGCTCAACATTACTATGTGCTAATCCAGTAATTCCCAAAGTGCAGGTGTGCGTGAGCTACCACTAGGGGGTGCGCAACAAGGAAAATGTAATGGTGGTGTAGTAGTGTATTAACTACAACAATTATTAATTTGGTGGAATTTTTCATGAAATAAAAACCTGAATTAAAAACTTTCCTTTGTAAAAACGTCTTTTGTGTAAAGTATGCAAACTGAAGCATCCCACCATTTGCATGTCCAGTCCAAGGAGAAGGAAATGTTTTCAGTGCAAGCTAAAAGGGAAGCAGAGACAGCAAGTGGAAGTGCTGTGATCTCTGTACAAAACAGTGGTCTTACTAGGGCCGGTAAGCGCGACTGCACACTCTCAACACTACCAACACAACTCGTTTGGGGAAATATATTTAAATAGGCTTACGAGGGACCTTTTCACCTCAGTGATAAATTAATTAATTAATTAATTAATCACAGCGCAAGGTGCCCATGATTAAAATTGCCGGTGTCGCATTAGCTGGGCGGAGTTGACTCGCGCTGAGTCGAAAAAAACTTCTCTTGCTGCGCAGTAGGTATGTAAATTTGTAACGCTTGTCAGTTAAACTATTGAAAGTCTTTTTCTGTATTTTGTCAGGTACATAAAGGTTCATGTGAATTTACAAATCCCAGGTTTTAGATTTATTTAATTTTGGAAAATATCCAAACTTTTTTGTAAATGGGTTTGTAAATTAACGTTCATAATTTTTGATAAATGGTCACATCTGTATACAGAAGATACTTTGAAATCAACAGAAACCAAACTTTATCAATATTAGTTTAGAGGATCTTCTGTATTCATTTTAATCATGTGCACCTCGCGCTGTGAGCCCACAGTAACAGTAGAGTTTTGCAATATAAACATCTTAAAACTGAAGCACAGCCTTACTGTTTTGGACTGTGAGATGCACTTTATTAGAGCTTCTGAAGTTAACGTGTGGATTGTGAGATTTCTGCCTGATCAGTAGTGGTTTTGGTTTCACATGCAGCATGCTGTCCCAAACTGTGTCGGTGTAATGGTCTAAAGGGTACAGGCTATATAACAGCGAATCAATAACGTAATGCACAGCAGAGTAGAGGCCAGCTGGAATTTAAAATATTATGAATTCTCATTAAATGATGACATTAGTCTCGTAATATTGCGATCTTTTTCTGGACATGTCAGAGAACACTATGGGAGAGATTCTGAATGTGCAGAAAGTTTTGAACATGAACAGAATACCTGCTGAAACACAGGAGCTATTAAAGTCCAGGAGTTTATAACTGAATTAAAATGAATTAATTTATCATTGAAGTGAAAAGGTCCCACACAGGCCTATTTAAATAGGTTATTTCCCCAAATGAAGACTCAAAAGAGAAGGGAAGACTAAGCATGTGTACTGACTCAGCAGGGATTTTATTAAAATAGAAAAGTTGATCTACAGGAGAAAACACATTTAAAAGCAGTAGCATACAGGATGCCTGAAAGGCTTACTGCATTATGTTCTATTAAATTTTAATATTTTGAATTGTCACATACCACCTGAATATTGTGTTTTGCTTTATATATATGGAGATTAACCATAAATTGGTGCAGAAATATTCACCAGAATGCAGGAAATTAATGCTGAAAAGTTCAAATCTCGCCTAGGGCTCCAACATCTATCAGGGCTGGCCCTAAGTAGCACATGGATTATGTGTAAAACAGGAGCGTTGGGCTTCATCCAGCCAGATGAATGATCACCGACTGTCCGAAGTGAGAGGGTATGGACAGGGCCAAGGAAAGGAGGTCGCGGAGCGGCCCGACGCTGTGGACAGTCGGTGATCATTCCCTCTGGATGGATAAAGCCTGACGCTCCTCATTTTATGCATGATCCATGATGGTATGGAAGATGTAGAAAAAAAAGGCAAAATAGCATGTCATTTCTTTTTGAGAGAAGCCAAGCTCCACTGTAGTTAGCACCCTGCTTGGACCACAGGTAGTTGGTAAAAGACATTTTCATAGTTTGGTAAGAGCTATAAAAACTCAAATTAGCCAAAAAGACATTGGTGCATGACATTGTTAATGTTGGTTGGCACTAGCAACCTGCTGGTAACTAGTTAATTATACTTAGGCCTATGTTAATAAAAAATGATTTATGCTAACGCCTAAGAAGTCCCGTTTAAATTACCAAACTAATTTTCACTCCTTGGCTTTTAATCCAGGATGAGAGCTGTATGTTGCCGTTTTGTTTGGTGTTGTATTTTTGTCTATCTATTGATTCATGTCAATGTACAGCACTTTGGTTGTTTTTAAATGTGCTTTAGAAATAAAGTTAGATTGGAGTTGGATTGGATTACCACCTGTTTGAATGTAGCCTAAATAGGGATATGACTTCATATCCGGTCCAGTGATTCCCATTTTCCCAGCCCAGTGTGCCCCCATAGACTAATCTGTTCCACCACAGTTTCATAATGAAGCAAAAACATTCACAAAACTTCTCATAATAACATAAAAGGTCTTAACATTGTTTTGCGCCATTGCTTTAGCAAAGTATCTGTCAAACGAACTACTATCAGGCTTTGTGCCCTCTTCAAATCGCAAAAGACTGTGATTAAATTAAATAATTAGAATAAGTAGGCCTATAAATAAGACATTAAATCAGAATAAATAAGTTATTTTAGGAGTCAGTAACTTTACTTGTTAAATTTTAAATGAGCTACTTTTTACTTTTACTTGAGTAGATTTCTATAACAGTAACTTTACTTGTAGTTAAGTACAAATTCATCAATGTAACAGTACTTTTACTTAAGTAAAATATTTTAGTACTCTTTCCACCTCTGCTTCACACACATGCAACTCTTTTGTGACTGGAGACTAAATTTTGTACAAGAAATATGAAAATATGAACATAAGGAAATGTACAACTTTATGGATGTAAGTCGTGTATGAACATAAATTAGATTAAATTTTCAAGTAAACACAATCTACAATCAGTGAACTGACCTCAGAGTCTCCAGTCTGCAGTCTGGACCCTCCAGAAAACCACACAGCAGCAGCTTCACTCCTGAATCCTGCAGGTTGTTTTCACTCATGTCAAGCTCTCTCAGATGGGAGGGGTTGGACTTCAGAGCTAAAGCCAGAGAAGCACAGCTGGTCGCTGACAAAAAGCAGCTCCTCAACCTGAATAAAGAATAAATGATGTAACTTTAGAAGACAATTTTCCTGCTTGAAATCATTCAGTGTGTAATAATCTGTTCAGAGCTGAAGAAGGTTTAGAATGTAGAAGTTTAGAAAACTCCAAACACCTGAACCCAACAGGACTTTTGTGTTTTTAGCATTATTTATATGAAAAGAAGACTTGCTGCCAAATTTGACAGTAAGAAACCAAGCACAGCTCACACTGCTGTGTTGTTGCTTTATAATTTTTGATCTTAAAAACTGTAAAATACAAAAGGTAAAACGAGATCTCATTAAAGAGGTGGTATTATGCTTTTTGGCTTTTTCCCTCTCGTTTATTGAGTTAGTCCAGCCCAAAGGGAGTTCCCATCTCCCACAGAAAGCACTGCTCTGAACCGCTTGAAAACAGCTCGTTTGTAGTCCAGCCCTTCACTTTCTTTACTTGTGACATCACAATGAAAATGCGTCATAAAGCTTGCCAAGCAGCTGGCGGGGTCAGGCACGCCTTCAAACCAAGCTAGTCTGAGCGGAGGCCCTTTGGCTCAACTCGCCTTTGTTTGGTTTTCCATTGTAGAAATGTTGTACCTGTACCTGCTTCCAGGTACTTTTTTTCATATCACTTCAGCTCCGTCAAGGTTCCAAGCGAGCTGAGGGATACTAAAATGTAACGTGAAAACAACAGACTGCTGATTGGTCAGAGAGAATATTCACTATTCACTGCATCATCATGTGCACCAGACAGAGACCAGCAAAAAGTTTTACAGTTTTTGTATGGAATTTCATCACTAAATCCACTTCTGAGAAGTTTTGATGTGAGAAATCAGCTATGTAGATTTGGAATTTGACAGTTTTAGAGAAGTGATGGCGGAACAAAAATGCTTGAATATTTTCGGAGTTGAGGAGCTCCGCAAGTGGCGGTGCAGTAAAAGCAGTAAAAGCACGGGCCCCTCTGAGCTTGCGCTTTGTTTTTGGCACACCAAGGAGCAGTTGATCGTCTGACCTGAGAGAACGAGTGGGAGTATAGGGGTGTAGCAGCTCAGAGATGTAAAGTGGGGCAAGGCCATTTAGGCATTTAAAAGTTTTTTGTGCTCTTATTTTTTCCTGTGTTTAGTCTGTTTTGGTTTGGGGTTTTGTGTTTTTCTTTGAAACCATGTTTATTCTTTTGTTCATTTGCATTTTAGTTCTGTGTCTTAGTTTATGTCTTGGTATTCACTCTTGGTTCTGTTTGTATTATTTGGTCTTGTCTGCTTTGTGTTCTGTTATCCAGTATTTGTCTGCTGCTTGTTAGATTGTAGTTAGTCTGCTAAGTGTTGGTTTTTGTTCTCGGTCTGGTGATTTTTTTTTTGACAGTGTTTAGTTTTGTGCTTTTTTCCTGTTGTGTTTTTTGCCTTTTGATGATCAGTTGTGTTTGTGCATTTTGGTCTGGTTCTGTCTACTCCCCCTATGATCTGCCTTCCTGTGTGTCTGTGTTCTGTCTAATTACCTCATGTCCTCCACCTGGTCGTGGTCCCGCCCTGCTCATTACCTGGTGTTTAAATGTTTGCTTGTTCTTTTAAGTCTTTGTTATGTTCTCATTGTTGAGTGTTCTGCTGTTCTCTGTTCTCCTTGATGGGATTATTTCTCTGTCTGTTGAATTACTTCTTGCCTGATTGGATTACTGATTTACCTGTTTGGATTCAGCTTTGTTTGGACTTTTTTCCTTGTGCTTCCACGTGAGCCTGTTTTTGTTTGGTTAGTAAATCTTTGGTTTGAACTGCATTCTCTTTGCCGTTGTCTGCATTTGTGTCCACACCTCTGCTCCCTGCCACTGCACTCAGTGATAAAGTGTTCAACAGTAAACTACAGTATATACACTTGTACAAAAAACTTTAGACAGAGTAGAGTCCAGTGGTCCAGCAGAAGTCGAAGTTGTTGTCTCCTACAGATGACTACCGCCAGCTGCTGGTGTACCGCTGCTCTCACACTTACAGATCTCTGTTTATAGATCTGACAATATTCCACAAATTCGTAAAAAGGAAGTCCCAAATGTAATTTGACCTGCAAATTGACAGGAAATGTTCCGCAAATGTGCAAAAACTATTTTGTGTGTAAAAATAGACGCATGCAGTTGTACACTGATCCATGGTGGCTGGCCTGGATCACAACCACCATGTCCACAGTCCAGCCAGGAGAAAAGCTGATGACACCATTTAGTATATTGCATTAGTAGTACTCCTATGCATTTTACTCAATACATTTATTAGTGATGAGTCAAAAAATATTCAAAAAGTATGAGGAATACAGATTTGATATTGCATTTTATGGTAATGCTAACTACTGTATAAGAACAATGTCAGGTATTACAAACTTTTCACTAAGCTATACTTCTTTGTATTATCAGGTACGGCAAGGTGTACAACAAAAAGTCCAGGAAGGGGAGAAAGACTACATTTAAATGGCAGACCTCCAGAGTGCCATCCTACTCCTCGGACAGTTGCTATAAGATGCCTATAAGCAGCCAGGAGACCTGATGATCCCCCAACATGGGGTTCAGTCAGGTGTCCCTGCCCCAACTGTATTGATAGATACAGCAAAATGTACAACAAAAAATATAATACGGTTGGTTTTGTAATGTGGTAATCATGTCAGAGAGGTGATTGCATGTAGCAGCTGTGGAGATGATTTAATATATCACAAAGTCTGAACTGTCTTCATAACCAGATTCCTCTGGACACACCTTGCCTTTCTTCCTGTATATATTTCTTTTAATGATGTTTAAAATGATCTATTTGTGATACAGGTTGTAGTATTAGTATAATTATAACAATAAACAAGTGTTCTATCATATTTGGTTGTCATTATTTGAGACATAAGACATAAATGTAGTTGCTTTATTGTTATGCTGTAAAGAAGTGTAAAGAAAAGGCATTTATCATTTCAGTGTTTTATTTAAAAAAGCAGCACTTGGTATCTCACCCTGTGACCAAGTGCTCCACATTGCCACTCTACAAACTGTCTGTATGCTGCATGACTGAACTATGTTACCCTTTCCTGGGTCTGGAAGATCAGCCATGTGGTTCATGAAAACACAGTAGTCTGGATGTTGTTCACAGTACTTGAATTCTGGCCTGTAAAGGAATATATAGATGTTAGAATCCCAAATTGGAAATATTGGTGTAATTGGACAGAACATTCATCAACATCATTAGATATTTTTAATGAACAGGCTTTGTTGTTCTTAACAAGACTTGTGTGTCCACATTACACACCAGTCAACATACATAACAGAGATGAGGCGATGGCAGAGCTGTAGTTAGCGGTGGTGTAATCAGTAACAACAAGTAAAGTAATATAAATAGTGTTGGATTACATTATATAGCACTTTATTTTGACACCAAAGTGCTCAGGGGGAAACACTGAGAAAAGTACACTAGGA